GACGGCGTTGCTTATACAAATTTCCCCGATGCAACCTTCCATTGCAACCCGATTCCAGCAGGCTATGCTCGTGTCGTGGTTGATAAGGTGGTGGACCAATATTCGGGGCTAGAGCTTGACATTCCTGGAGGTGACGAGGAGCACACACTCGGAGATGCCAAACATCGTATCATCCTATGGAGAAATGATTGCATCATCTTTCGAAGGCCGCCGACACCGCGTCACCCGACTCCTCGTCGAAGTCCGCCACCGAGTCAGCAGACTCCCGCTCCTCCAAGTCCACCAACGCATGAGGCCACTCCTCCTCCTCCAAGTCCGGCAAAGTGTCAGGCCACTCCTCCTCCAAGTTCGACACAGCGTCAGACGTCCACTCCTCCTCCAAGTCCGGCACAACCTCATGCCACTCCTCCTCCAAGTCCGGCACAGCTTCAGGCCACTCCTCCTCGTCCAACTCAGCCCCGTCAGCCGTCTCCGCCGCCTCAGCAATCGCAGAAGAGACACCCCGCAGCTATGGTGCGTAGCGGTACGAGTCGAGGTCATAGTACAGGAAGTACAGGCGGAGGCAAGCGATATAAATATGGTCCAAACCTCACTACTCCTCTTCCTGAGAGGGCTTACGACAGGACCGAGGAGCAAACCAATGCCATAGTGCGGGCAGAAGTCGACGCCCATTTTGGACCGAAACCGCCACCGCCGCCAAGGGAGAAAGTGCCTGTGGAAGTAGTTGACCACTTCATTCGTATGGCTCAACCACCAGCTCCTAAGCCTGTTGACACAGACTATGAGCGCCACATCAGGAAGTTACATCGACAACGTCTATAGAAGGAGGCGAGCTCGAGCTCGAGCAAACAACAAGCAGCTGTCAAAAATGCGGGAAAACCGTTGCCCAGCTGGGAGAACAGGCGGCGCAATCGACCCCCCCGCTTGTTGTGCCGCCAACAACACGTGACAGTACGCGCGCCCAATATTATTGTGGGCAAACAGTTTACGTTCCCGAGGTGGGCGATGTGGTAATAACCCAGGAGCATATAATGCAGGCCGAAACTCTCAAAATCACTGTTGGACAACTCCTCGAGATCGAGGACATGCCTGTGCTTACAGAGGAGGAAATAAAACGGAAATATGCCCGGGGCCAACCTTTGGTCAAGCCAGAAGAGGTCAAGAAGCTCCCAACGAGAATGTATAAATTGCATCAATGGTACATGGACATTACCAAGAGATCCAATTGAGAGTCCCTCATGGTGCAAGTCAAGAAGGATCATTACTACCATCAGAAACCTGTGACAGTTGAGTATTCTGAACTGTTTTAGTTATACAATCAAGACGCACTCGATAAATCTATCGTCAGTTGCTATTGTCTGTAAGTGATTTCTTTCTGTAATTTAAGTCTCAAGCTAGCTGTAGTGATCCTTTTGATCAATCATTACCTGTAATTATCCTCACTATATTCTTTTCTGTGGTATTATGCAGGATGAAGATGTATGAAATGAGAAAAGGTGGACGCTATGGCATTCGGTTCATTGACCCAAACACCGTTAATGAATACACATGGAAAATAAACAAGCATCATGAAAAGCAGGTAGAGGACAGCATGCTAGAGTTCTTGAAGCGCCTCAAATACAATGAAGATATACTACTTCCTTACAACTTCCAGTGAGTCACACTTTCTTGTACTACAAATTCTCTGTTTTTGCCTACTAGCTAGCTACATGTTTTTGCTTACATATGCCCGCTTAATTAAGATATGCAAACGTGTGTGCATGCAGATTTCACTGGATCTTGTGTATCATTAAAGTTGACGCCGAAACAGTTGAAATACTGGACTCACTACTCAAAGCAAATAGTGACTATAACATCTTGTTTAGGATAGTCAACAGGTAATTTCAATCATTATTAACTATATATCTCGGCCTATTTAGTTCGTCGTTTCATGATATGAACTATTTAATAACCCCTTTATTCATTTTCTTTGTCGGCGGGCAGGGCTTGGGCAAGGTTTATCAGCGTCACGGAAGGCGAATGGAAACGACAGCTGAAGTAGTACTAGCTAGCTAGCTAGCTGCCATCTCTTTAATTATCATGCTTGATTAATTATTATCTGATCAAATTAAATTCCATTCTTGTAATAAAGGCCCTGAAGCAGGCGCAGGGGACTGGTCTGTGTGCATTCTGCGTTTGCGAGAACATTCGCATGATGGCGTCCGAAAGGAGCAGATCTCAAAGACAGGAATGGGTACGCTTGTCAGAATACTATTCACAATTTTTACATCATTATCGATATCTAGTCACACAACTAATACACATGCATATTGATTTCCTTCTTAACAGTTCACAAAGGTGCGGGACAAGCTCCTAGAAACGGAGCGCGTAGAAGCACTTCAAGAGGAAATAGCGGGATTTTTGCTCGACCAGGTCATAAATCCGAAGGGAGAATACTATTACCCGCTACCGCCCCCATCGACCAGGTCATGAATCACTTCCAATTGTCATCGTGCTCCGAAGGCACCAATTAGGCTAATGCCACTGGCTCCGAAGGCAACATGCATATGTAGGAGAAATCGTATATAGCTATACATGTGTGTATGTGTGAATTAATATGATGGTTTGTGAGACATTGATGATATATATATGATTGGTTCTACTAGAAATTCTATTTATATATATATATATATATATATATATACACACACACACACACACATATATATATATATGTATATACATATGCATAACGTGTACAATGTGTAGTATCGTAAAATACCAGCAAACGAAAAAGAATTAAAATGGAAAACACAAAATTAAATGAAAAAGAAATCATAAAACCAAAAAAACCCCAAACATTTTAGTACCGGTTGGTGTTACCAACCGGTACTAAAGGGCTCCCGGCCCTCGGAGCTGGCTCGTGCCATGTGATTGCCCTTTAGCACCGGTTCATGCTGAACCGGTACTAAAGGGGGAGCCTTTAGTGCCCACACTTTAGTGTCGATTATGGAACCGTCACTAAAGGGCCTTACGAACCGGTGCTATTGACCGGTTCTGCACTAGTGCGTCGAACGCCTTGAACGGGTCGTCGAAGTTGGGGATGTGGTCGAAGGGGTCCGCCGCCGCGCCCGGGTCGGAGAAGTGCCTGTTGACGTACTCGAGGACGTGGGAGAGGACCCGGCCGATGACGCCGGGGACCGGGATGGCACCGTCGGCGGCGCCGCCCTTCTCCAGCGTGTCCTTGATCGTCTTAGACGCGGCGGCGATCGCCTCCTCCATCACCTCGAGCTCCTGGCCGTCGGAGCTGCGCAGGCGGACCATCTTCGTCGTCATCTTCGATCTTTCTGACTTCGGTTCTGCGATCGGTGGCTGCTGCGTATTTATATGCAAGGACAGGGAGACGATCGAGGACTTTGGGTCGGTGTACTCGGGCCGCCGCCGACTCCAACTCAGCCTTTTTTTTTTAGAGAAACCGACTCAACTCAGGTTGCGTACGTAGTAGGAGGACCACGTAAATCATGTATATTTATTATTTATTTTGTAACTCTCACTTTTTTAACAAACTGTACGAAAAAAGGAAGTTATTTTGTAATTGTCACCCGAAAAATGAGTTGGAATTTCTTTCAAATTAATACCCCAAAACAGCAAAGTAAGTAGTTGTTGTTCTTAATGCAAAATGCCATGATTTAAAAACAATAAACCCTTACAAGGCAACCCCCAAAAAATTAGAAATTCCAACCGGTTCCTTGGACAAAATAACGCCATCTTCCTCCTGCACACGCTGGTGGTGCGCCATGATCCATGCTCGATGTCCGCACACGTCGGTGGCACTCCATGATTCATGCTTGATGTCCGTGATCCATGCCTGATGTCACGACTGAAACTCTGCATCACCGCCGAAGCTAGCAAGACTTTGAGTCCGCGGCCGGAAAGCCGTCGAGATATGCCGGAAGAAGCTAGTGGCCATTATCCAAAAAATGGATCGTCGCCCTAGAGAGGAGGACAAGGAGAAGTGCTAAGAATGACGAAGACGACTACCACCTTCGTCAACATGGACCTTGACGCCATGACGCACGACGCGCTCACCTAGATTTGAAAGAGTCCATACGATGCAGACACTACCTCCTAGAACCAACACCAAGAGCAGAGGCCTGACCTGGTCGACCCCCGATCAAACTATTTCGCGTCGAAGGATGATCTAGAGAAACCTTATTCGACCGTCAGAGCCGAAGCCACGATAGCCAAAAATCCTAATTGAACAAACCTACTCCCTCCGTTCGGAATTACTTGTCTCGGAAATGGATGTATCTAGAACTAAAATACATCTAGATACATCCATTTCTACGACAAGTAATTCCGAACGGAGGGAGTAGACCGCTGGATGCACCCGGAATAAGGTCACAGGGTTCCCCTCCCTCCCCACTGCCGCCAGAGCAGAACCCCATGACCCCTCATTATTGTGGCAATCGTAATTTGTCGCAACTGATGCAGTTCAGTTGGACCATGAACAGTCACCTTCACCGTTCAATTCCAGGAATCCTCTTTAAGCTATATGCGTACAGTCTACATTTTTAAAGACAAGAAAAGGGCTGAATTTTGACAGCACAAGCATCGACTGCACCTGTCCATAGGAGGCAGCAATTCACCCAGGAAAGGGAACATCTTCCATTCTGTAAATGTGTTCCATGCACAAGAATTCCTTTACAGGTACAGCTGCACATATATGCACACAGCACGCTACTGTCTCAGATAATCTAATCTCCTTCACTGACCCCAATATCTGCACAGGTGACTATGCGACATCTCGCTCTACACGAGCAACATTCCTATGTCAGGCGACGCAGCAGCAGAGTCTCTGAATCATATGCACAGCACCTCGACTCTGACTCATGTCTTGCTTCTAAGTATATCAGGTATCACAAAGCTGACTAAATCAATTGAAGAATCTATGAATCATGAATGTGATCTGAAGAATCTATAGCTCCGCGGGGGATCGCACTGGGACGACGAGCAAGAGGTCAGTCTGCAGCTAGTGCTTGGAGCTCCCGCAGGTGGTCTGGTATCAGTGTTCCCAGGTGAGGATTCTGGGGGTTCTCTGCATATGCAACATGGTATGCCGCAACGCAAGCCTGTGGCCACGCAATCATCATCCGGCACTGCAACATTGCAACACGGAAGAAAAGGGAATCATAAACCGGAAGCATAGAGCAGTAAGGGACATCTACACTTCATAACTGATGCTGGACCGCTACCCTTTTCGGTGGGTATATAACAGTATCTCTCCCTTTTCAGTTTTCAGTGGACAAGCATCTCTCTTCTTTTGGATATAAATATATAAATGGATGCCATTTTCACATAATTCTGATAAAAGAAGCATCTAGAACTACAAAAGTGGAAAGGTGCAATTTCACCAAGGCTATGTAAAGTCAAATCCATATTTTATATATCTCTGTACCAACTAGCTTTTGAGGCTTATGGACGCAACTACCTAAAATGTCAAGTGGCACAGGTATGCAAGCAAAATGTTGAACTAAACAGGTTTACACTACTTCTTTGTAAACAAACACCAATACATAGTCTATCAGTTTTACTAGTGCAGACAGTGTGCTACCGTCGTCTTGTCAACAGAAGATTATAACAAATTCAACCAGGTTCACCAATAGACAGTCTGCTTTTTTTTCTTTTTCTTTTTTGCTGTTTGCTAGCAAAAGACCAATGCAGACTTAAGTTGTCACTAATGCTGATAAATAAACACAGGGAAAAACAGCCGGGGAGGAATTAAGAAGAATACCATGTAATAACCGATGAGAAATGAGTAGAACGATATTGGCAGAGCAAGCTCCTTACGATCCCTATCCATGGCCAGTGCCCATGAACCAGCAACCAATGAGGCCAAGGCGCCTCCAGTGACAGCCGAAAGGAAGCAGAAGGAACCGGTGAGGTCTGAATCGACAAGCTTCGCCATCCCGCGGAGAACGAAAAGGGACCACACATCCCGCGAAGCCACACAGAACGCCTTCCCCCGCGCTCCGACATGGACAAAGCCCCACCGGTTCACCCGTCCCATCAATTTCTCCGATACAGTCAGGCAGCAGCCCTGGCAGCATGAGAAAAGGAACTCGTCGTTGCCCCCTGACAGGGCGTTGATCGCTCGAGCGAAGCTCCTCACCGCTGCAATCACCGGGACAAGCACAGCCCCCATGCATATGTCACCAAAAGCTGGCCCCGACATCGTGCCACAGAATGCTTCGACGGCACCACCTGGCATACGGACTCCGTAGGCAAGCGCCGCATGTGCCAGCCTTGCCACAGCCACATAGACGAAGTAACGCAGCACCTGCATTGTCCATGATATGCTCACCAGGAGCGCGGCCACATAGACAATATGGAAATCCATGAAGTGCCCTTCTGCAGCTGAAATGCAGCTGATGGCAACTGTCCAGAAGGCCATGTAGCCAAACGCGGCAAGGACAACAAAAAGAACCAGGCAAGAGGCACTGAAGGGCAAATGTGCTCCATTGACAGAGGTGGAAAGTACTGCGGCGGCATGCTGGAGGCGCGGACCAGTGGCCCAACAACTGTACAGCGCCGCTGCAATGGCGATCACAACTATGAGCACTCCGATGCCAAGGGCTTCGCCGTCACCGACAAGGAGTATGACTACATCGCAGCCAAGTGCGGAAACAGGAGCTGTCCAGAGAGATGTTTTGATGGCTTTTGCAGGATTAGTGACAGCAAGGATAGTCCAAAAGCAGGCAGCGATAATAGATAATATCACAGAAGAGGCGAGCGGAATGAAGTGGGCGAAGGGCTTGTAGGTAGGATTCGGGTGGGAAGAAGCCTGGACTCCAAGAAAGATTGTGAGGGCGATGAAAGCAATGAGGTGCATGATGAACAGAATCTTTGTGAAACTGGCTGTGAAACCACTGCAGCAACCACGACTGTCACGGACTGCAATGTTCCCATAGACTGGAGAGTAAACTTGCTCTTCTATTTCAAGTGGCACCTGAAGAAATAGTGGTTGGAACATTAGTGAAGTGGAATCTTAAAACCAAAACAGCGAAGTCCATAACGAGATTTTGTATTTTGTATGTGTTTGTGTTCAAAGCTCGAGATGGTAAAAGTTTGGTATCATTTAAATGTTATGAAAACTAGTATATGGATCATTAGTAATTAATTATGTTGGAGCAAACATGGTGCAGTAATCGTACAGGCTATGAAGAAATAAACTCATCCTTATAGTGATACCTTGGAAATGATTCCCCAAAAGTTATTCCAGTAACCCATATCTGTAATAGATGTTTTAAAATAATGAAGAAGAAAGCTAATGTTATAAGTACTTCATATCTAGCTTAGATAGCAAATATAGGGACTAATGCAAGTGGGCAGTCAGGATTGTTCTTGCCATCTTGTCTGATAATAGCAAATTCACTTATGATGCTAGAATACGAAAATGTGGTCAGATTGTGATCTTGTCAGAATAAGATGAATGTTTTCACTATCTGTCTATAAGTCAGATGGAGGGGGGAGTTTGTGAAGATAATCCTATATGCAACTGAATATACTCCCTCCGTTCGAAAATAAGTGTCATGGTTTTAGTTCAAATTTGAACTAAAACCACGACACTTACTTCGGAACAGAAGGAGTATTTGACAAATATAAGCAACAACTAGTTCCTCCTAAAATGAAACCGACTTCTAGTAGGTATTTCGGTGTTAATTTTCTTCTAGAAACTTGCAACGAGTTTTTTTTCTTTAACCCCAACATTAAGCTGCAATACGTGTTTTAAGCTATCCTGTAGGCTACAGTTTAATGCTAAACTAGCATATCCCCGCATTTTTTTTGCTAAACTAGCATATAGTACTACGTTGTTTCTTCAGATATCCCATTCTATACAAGCACATAAACAGACATTGGCAATCACAATAATTGTACCAGAACTTCAAAGGAAATCAGTTCAAGATGCAGATAGAGTTGTACAGTACATTTCAAATATGATCACAGAAACACTTGGTATTTTCTTCTATTATAGCTGCATAGTAGCCATACTGAATGTGCATATCATCAGAGAATTGAGAATGCCAAAATATAAAACTATGGATCAATCAAAATTTGTGCAATCACAAAAACTCTAGGGCCAACAAAGTGATGCTGGCACGCAAGTAGTCCGCCATACCCCAACCACTTGAGCACCCTACTGCCTCATTTCGGTCTGCACATCTAAAAACACGAGCAATTGTTGTAGTCTTATACCAACCCCAATCCACAACCACCCGTCACAGGATTTGTTCAACCAATTCTACACATGGGCGGGGCGGCATGGAAACATCCAGTTCGAAAACACGGCCTTGCGCGCACGAAACTGATTGGAGCAACATCGACACGGGCAAAGCGATTCCGAACACAAGTACACGGTTCATCCGAATTACAGTAGGATATGATTCAGTGGTCCAAGCAGAAGTGGCACAATCAGAGCAGCCCCCCGATTGGGCGGGCCTGGTTCGCCAGAGATCCTAATCTGCCAGCACCCCTCTCCCTCTGTGGCACGCGAACCAAATCGCGGCGCGGAATCGCCCGATTCCAGCACACGCGCGAGAGGGACTCGGAATCCCCCGAGCAAGCAAGAGCAGCAGGGAGCTATCCCCCCAGTCGCGGTCAAACGCAGGCACGCCGAGCGCGAGCGACAGCCCGATGGGGAGGGGAAGAGAGAGGAGGGGAGGGGCGCGCCGGTCACCTGGTAAGGGCTGGCCGCCGGCGTGTGCGCCGCGCCGCCGTGCCCGGGGGTAATGCCGCCGGCGGCCGCCGTGATTTCGCCGACGCCGACGCCGGTTCCTCCCTGCCTCGCCGCCATCGCCCTGCCGACTGCCGTGCCCGACTCCCTCTCTCTCTCTCTCTAATCCGCCGTGAGTGGCTTTGGTCAGGTGGTAGTAGTGATAATCATGCGCTTCGGCTTTGGGCTTGGCTTTGCTCTCGCTTTCGCCAGCGGCCGCGCTTTTCCGCTTGCTCTGCTTGGACGGGGGAGGAGAAGTGGTTCCACTACCCTCCTTTTTTTTCTGCTTTGGGTTGGGTTGATTTGCGGAGGCGTGGCGTGGGGAGCGAGTGGTCTGGGTCTCTGACGCGGTGGGGTCACTGGGGTTCTGTGCTCTTCCGTCGCGGCCGTGCGCCCTAGTAGTTGTGATGGCGAGGCGAGCGATGACTTGGTGGAGTACAGGGTGACGGGTCGCCGTCGGGTTTTGGACCTCGGGCTTACACGTCATCCTGAGCACGTGCTGTGGCGTGGGAGCTATTTCTCGCCCATTCGTGTGACTTAACCCCGTCTCATTTCGGTGCTACTGAGCCAGTCCAGCACTGTAGCTGACTCTGCCCGAGTTTGTTTTTTCTTTTCCAGGTTTAACTGCTTGACTGGTTATCTTTGGGTTTTTATCATTCTAGTATTAATTATTCTTTCTTTGGTTCTCCTTGTTTATTTCTTCAGTTTTCGCTGGGTTTTTTCGTTTCCTTTATTTTTCATAAACATTGTATATTTTTCTTATTGGTCAGACATACTTATACCTATATAACATTTCTCAAATGTATGATTAATATTTTAAAACAATTAAAATTTATGTTTAGATATAATTATACATCTCATACACATTGCGTATTTGTCTTATATACATTAAAAATATTTTATACACATTTAAAATAAATTAAATGCATGATTGATACTTATCTAAATATTTTTTTTTAATTTTTTGAATGACTGCTAGTTTGTTTGCAAAAATATGTTCAAACCTGTTTTTCTGAATTATAGAAACATTATTTTAACTATGCAAGCAATTTTACATAGTATAATCATTTTTTTATAAAATGTCACAAACATATTTTCAAAACAAATAACATTTTTAAAATGTAATGTACATTTTTTCAATGGTATGAAACATTGTTTTAAATTACACAAATATCTTTTTTACATTGTATAAAATTTTCCAAAAATATCTGAACATTTTTCTACAAATATGTTAACATTTGTTTCAATGTCACATACATTTTTTTCAAGGTACAAACATTTTTTACATTGCATGATCATTTTTTATGTGTGCGATGAACACTTATAAAAAATTAACTAAATTAATTTTAAAATATATGTATTTAGATTTTTTTTTTATAAAAAATATGTGTGTGATGTCAGTATGACGAGCCCCCGCATGGTTACTGGGTCGACCCTCTACCAGCTCCCCTTAGGCAAGCGGAGCTACTGTCTCACATAAAGCAAGGCATAGTCGCGCCTGTGTTGGGGTGTTTGATCACCGGCAGAGCTACACTGGGGCCCAACCAGGTCATGGCCCGCTCAAATTTTCTAAAAAGAAGATTATACTAAGCCCATAGATACACAACACTACGAAGCAGGCAACAATCCAAGTTTAGGGTCATGTTTAGCAAAATGGGCGACCAATCTTCCTGTTGGTAGGTCCGCAATTGCGTGTTTGAAAGTACTAGTAATCTTGCACGCGCAATGCGCGTCTAGACTAACAAAAAGCAGGTTGCAAACTTGATAGTAAACTAAAGAAGACATAATACATGTGTTTAGTATCATGTTCTCAAATGATGGTCCAATAACTTGTCATGAAGCCAATATTGAAGAGACTTTGAACATACTTGCAAACTATCCCATAATGAATGTTTAACTCTAATGTGAAAATACATGTTAAAGCAATCTCCGAGGGAGGGTTAATCTTCTTTTATATAGTAGATTATAAATATATGGACAGAGGCACATTGAGAAAAAGATTCACAAGAGTTCGGAGTTTCATATATATGTTTGGAACATTGAAAAATTGGACCTATGTAGGGATCCTGGACCGCACAAACTATGGATATCATCAGAGAATAGAGAATGTGCATATCATCCTGAAAGCTCCTTCAGGTGGCCACCGATGTCTTCCTAAAGGTGGTTTCTTTTTCCACATCTGGTAGTTGACTTTGGTGGGATATGCAAACTATGACGATGGCTTGATGCAGAGGGATGGTTGTGCAACGACGGTGGTCGCACATCGCATGTAGCTGCTGGGATGACGGTAAAGTGGTGGCAACAACACATAAGTGATTTCGATGCGTGCTACTCAAAAACCCGCTCTCAAGCTCAAGGGTGAAAGGCTAGGTCTGACATGTGTTGGTTATACCTGACAATGATGATGTTTTCACGTCGTTACCTTGTTGAAGGCAGTGCTCGAATATGCTCAGACTGATTCTTCGGGTGAAATCTAGATTCTGGCTTTGCGTGGTTGGCCCGGTGACATGTATGGCTTTACTCTTTGTCGGTGTGATCCTTTGTGTGTGTGTGTGTGTGTGCGCGCGCGCGCGTGCGCATGCGTGTGTGTGCATCCTAGTTATGTCCATATGATTGTATCTCTTGATGCTACATTATGATCAATAAAAAGTGTCCTTTATTTGAAAAAATGTGTTGTTTGCAAGGCATTATTCTCCTCCGAAAACAGCTTTGTTAGTACTTTTTTCTTATGGCATTACATTATCTCATCTTGTATGGAGGCAGTTGTGTTTAGACATTTGGTTAGTGCAGATTGATGTAAACGGGTGCATGGTGTATGTATGATTGTGAGGCATGAGATATCTTTTGCAGATATGGACTACTTTGTCTTCCACAGCCGTGTTGTGCTGCTGCTAACTATAGCCAACTAACCAGACATGGACTTGTTCCTTTGCATCACGCGTGTCTCTCTTTTGAACTTTCTTTCTGGTTAATTAATGATATTTGCTAGTACCCTCCAACTTTTTGTGTATTTTTAGTGGGAAGTATTGATCCCGCGAGCATGGTAACCACCAGCATATCCTGGACCTCACGTCCCAATTAATATAAGCACTGTTGCCAGTGTCTTGTAACCTGCATGAGTTGACTGGTTATCCCCCTCTCATCTCATGTGTTAACGTCATGATAGTAGATCACTACTTCAAAGTACAAACGCTTTCTCACTGTGGCTGGACCGCAGGCAATGATCCACGTAGGTTGGCTGAAATGTAATTGTCCCTCTTTTTCGATGGAACCTCGTGGTTTCGCTTCTTCCAGATATTCCAGATATTCCAGGATAGGCACCGCTCGTTCATCTTGTCGTGTAAGCTAGTACTCTTTTCATTCGAAAATACTTGTCATCAAAATGGATAAGGCTTTCTTTGGTTCATAGGGTAGGAAAATTGTAGAAATAGAAAAGTCATAGAAAATGAGATGACATGCATCTCAAATCCTATGAGTAGGAATAGGAAAGAAGATGTCCTTTGTTTCACATCATAGGATTTTTTTTCATTCAGTCTAGTCTAATGTTTATTTTCCTATGAAATGTGGAGGATAGGAAGATTTCCTCCATAAAAATAGGATTCCATTCGTACAAACCAAAGAGCTCTATATGAATTTTTTTTATAAAAATCCTACCCTATGAAATTCCTACAAAATTCCTCCAAACCAAAAAAGGCCTAAGAAGGGATGTATTTAGAACTAAAATATGTCTAGATATATCCCTTTTTGTTTATTTTAATGACAAGTATTTTCGGACGAAGGAAGTGGTATTCTTTATCTCATCTCGTGCGTTCAACGTCTACAAATTTCTCCTTTCACCACGCCACAAGGGCAGGGCGGATCCACATAGGTTGACTGCTCCGTTTTTTTTACATGGTTTTCGCTGATTTGAAACATTCGGAATTCTCTGCTTGCCCGTGTATAGACAAACAAATCGGACCATTTCATTCCCCATGGAGAAATGAAGAAAAATGTATACACTATCAATAGTTTTACACAAATTGACATGCTAGAAGCCTAGCTGACGACGTACATGAAAATGTAAAAAAAAAAAACAGTGACTTTTTCCATGTGGTGCATATGAGAAATTGTTAGACCATTTCTGCCGTTTTCTCTCATTGACGGTGATGGTAGGCGGCAGTCCAGCGGGAAGGCAAAATCCTTGACCAGATATTGTAGTGACGACGACTGCCCCAACTACCTACCTACCAAAATATCGCAGCAGAAAAGAAAGAAAGAAAGAAAGAAAGAAAGAAAGAAAGGCACTTGGATACGTCACCCACCTACCTACCGCTTGTGTGTGTGTGTGTTGGTTTGGCAAGGCTTGAATACTAATCTCAATTCCAATGATACGATTTAGCAAAAAAATCCAATTATCGATCATGAAGCAAGGAGGTGTTAGGCTGGACGAAAAGCTCGTTGCTCGTGAGCTTAACGAACACTCGAAAGCTCGGGTCGTTATGGCTCATGCTCATTAGTAAATGAACTGAGCCGAACAACAATCTTAGCTCATTAAGATTTAATGAGAGAGCCTACCAATTTCATGAGCAGCACGTTTGGCTTGTTATTATTTTGGGGGTGCCCCTGCTGAACCCACTACTGTTAATAATTATCAAGGCTCGGTAGTAGCCCACTGACCATGTGCTAGTGCTACTATTTTAAAAGTTTAAATTATGCAGAGGTTGTTGCAGTTCTACATGTTAAAATTATGAATACACAATACAATACTTTTATGTTGTTTACCACTATAATGAGTACTCACAAGCACTCATGAGCTTAACAACTATTAAACGGATCGAGTCAATCACGAGTTTTATCTCATTATCATTAATGAGCTTAATGAGCCTTGCCTCAATGAGCTAATCGACTCATTAATCTAGCCCTAGATGTCGTCTTCCTTTCGGATGAATTTCGTAAAAAAAAATGAGCGTGGAAGTACAGTCTGAAATCTAACATGCATGGCAAGTTCCTCATAAGGGAGATAGTGACGGACCTAGGATCAAATTATTGGAGGTGCCAAACATCGATACGTAGGTAAAAGTTTTAGTGAAATTACACAAAAG